AGCCACCTACAACCAAAACAGAACTACACCCAGGCATATAATAATCAAGATTAATTATTAATCAAGATTAATAATTCAATATAAGAACAGAATATTAACAGCTGTTTAAGACAAGAAACAGATCACCTATAAAGGAAGGCACATCAGAATTATGGCAGACTTCTCAACACAAACCATCAAGTCAAGAAGAGCCTGGAGTGAAATATCCCAAGCCCTGAAAGTAAATAATCTCCAACCCAGATTGATATATCCTGTTAAACTGTCTCTAGAAATTAATGGAGAAACAAGATGCTTCCAAGACAAAGAGGAACTTGGGAAATTTGCAACAACCAATCCAACTATACAGAGAATACTGCAGGGTATTCTAGAGAGAGAGAAAAGTACTAGCATCCCAGGAACAGTGGCAGAGAGGCCTCAATGAATGCAGCAGAAAACAGAATGAAGAAGATAAGAGACAACTGATGGCAAAAAAAAAAAAAAAGAGCATAACAGAAATGAGGCAAAGAAGATTGGTTATAATCTCTATTATAGATGGCCTTGATACACTAAATAAAAAAAAAAAAAGAACCACACATGGAGTAGATCAGGAGGCAGGGTCCAACGAGATATTTATAGGAAATACAACAAATATGAAAAAGAGTACATGGACAGAAAATCAAATATGAGAAAACAATGCTCTATGTGACAGAGAACCAGAGAATAATAGGGGCAACTAGACGAGTATTTGTGGATATGTTGGAAAGACGGGTAAAGGAATACAATTAGAGATCAAGTCCAGGAGATAGAAGGCTTGGAACCACTTAGGTAAATAGCAAGTTGACCCCCAATTTAAAACAGAGGGTCTTGGTCAGACCCAAAAATGCACAGTGTACCCAGGAGAAGTGAAAGGGGAGGAAGAGTCTTAAAAAAGATGGCAGAAGATATTGTTAATAGTGTATCAGGATTTAAAACCTACATTACTCGCACCACTCTGCTGAGATAGATTTTATTCTTTTTTGATAGATTTTATTCTGTCCCAGTTGTCGACTTACATTAGATTTGAAGACACAGACAGCTATCCCAAAACATCAGGATATAGCACAGTAATCATCTTTAATTTCCTATTATCTTAATCTGGAGCCCTGTATGATTTATACTGTTTTCTCATGACTGGTATTAGTTAAATCTGGTTTGTTTGATTGCTGTTTGGTATCAACAGATTTTATTCAAAACTGATACGATTGATAGTATCAAGTCTGAGAGTATAGGCAACTATACTGAAGATGACAAGACTCACTACAATATACATTCTGGTTTGACTACTGCCGGTTTTTGAAGTTTTATACTATATACAAAGTTGTGTTTTAATTAATACTGCTATGTACTGATATATTCAATTATACTATGTCTGATGATATAGCCAATTCTATTGAAGATAACGAGACAACACAGGAACTATGGTAGAACTCCTTGTACAACAGGCTTATATGTCTTTTTCATTTCATGTGTTTATAAGAATATGTTTTGTTTTGTCTTGCTTTGTTTTGTTTCTCCCTCTAATATACAAAGGATAGAAATACATGTTAAGACTCATGCATGTGTAGAATCTATAAACAGTTTATGAGAATTGATCTTATGACACATGATTAAATGAACAGATACTTTGAAAAAAAATAGACAATAAAGTACCCAGTGCAGATCCAGGAGTGTCATAATATGAAACCCATCAATAGGTTTCTTTGTTCAGAGTGATATTAGCCTGCTTGGGTTTGTTCAATCTCAACATAATTAAAGATATGGATAACAGGGGCTGGGGATTTAGCTCAGCGGCATAAGCGCCTGCCTTGGAAGCAGGCAGTCGTGAGTTCGATCCCTGGTACCAATAAAAACAAAAAAGACAAAAAAAAAAAAAAAAAAAGATATGGATAACTGCATGTATGTTTAAATGTATAGGATTGATAACCATATTTATAAGTTTTTGTTAGATAGTTGAACAGAACTGGTTGCAGTCTCACTGTTTTAATCCCCACTTGATATGCTCCACTATAGTATCTTGAATAACTATTTGTAAGAGGACAATCTGTAATCATCAACTAGTGATTTCTTACTGTTTATTTTTTTCTTTGAAAGTATGCATTATTTCTACCCATTTTTCGTTTTGTTATCCCTTTTTAAATAAAATTTAAACAAAATAAGACACTACAGTACCCAGTACTGATCCCGGAGTGTCATGATGTGAAATCCAGCAATACTATTATTCTTTGTTCAGAATGATTTTAGCCTGCTTTAGTTTGTTTAATCTCAACATAAATGAAGATATGGATAACTGCATGTAGGTTTAAGTGTATAGGATTGACAGCCACATTACTAAGTTTTTGTTGGATAGTTGAACAGAACTGGTTGCAGTCTCACTGTTTGAATTCCCAATTTATATGTTCCACTTTTGTATCTTGAACAACTATTTGTAAAAGGACTGTATGTAAATATTAACTAGTGATTTCTTACTGTTTATTTTTTCTCTGAACATATTGTTTCCACCCATTTTCTGTTTTGTTTAATCTCTCTTTAAGTAAAATTTTTAAAAAGAAAAAAATGACAAGTATATGCAGTTCATATTAGGAAAAGTAACAAAACACTCAATTTTAATTTTTGTTTCTGTTGTTCTACTGGTTCATTAGTTAGAAAAGAGTACTGAACTGTCTGAATGTTATTGCATGTTAACTATTTCTATGTAGAAATTTTTTTAATTTCAAAATACATAATTCATTTTATAACCATAGGTTCAAAGAATAAGACATTTCATATCTGGAAATATAAGACAAATTTCCTACTGAAAATTAAGTTTCAATTAATCTGCTAGATCAACTGGGTAAACACAGTATAGCAAATATCTATGTTCTTTCCAATTCTCCCTGCCTTCTCTTAGTTGGGGTTGATGGTAACTGCTTCTGATCAATGGACTATTAGCAGGGAATATGTTTGTCACTTCTGAGCAGAAGTGACAAACTGAATTATAGGAATGAGAAGGTATATGCTTTTCTACTTCTTGGCAAGTGAAATATTATGCATGATGAGACAGAACTCTAAAGAGGAAGTAGGGTACAGTTCCTGTGATGCCCCAGGCTTAATATGTAGTATCAGCTAAACATAATCCATTCATATATTAAGGGACTAAGATGTACAGTTAATTTGTTATTGTAGCATACATTGCCCTGATTACAAATACTTTCACTGACAAAGAGATGAGAATAATTGTGCTATGTTAAGAATTATCCCACAATAATACTTTTAATATTAATATTTCATAACTTTCCTTTCATTTACTAAACATATTCGAATTTAAAATGGATAATTTTTTCTTGCTAATGTTCACCTGCTAAAAGAAGACATAAATATGTAATGATAAAATAGAATGATAAGGATAAAGTAGTAAATTAATTCAGAGCAATGAAATATGAGTTCTAGTAGGATATGTGGGGGTAAATAAGTTAGATGATTTAAGTCTTGAAGAATTGGGTAGGTTTGATTGCATAGATGGGCAGAATATGGGAATGCAGCATTGAGTCATATGGCACAGAAAATAGCATAAGCAAAATCGTGAACAGGGAATTGACCTATTAATTCTGGAAGGATGAAAGCTACACATAAATCAGCACAAAGCTACCATCCACTCTTACATAGTTTAAAAAAAACTAAAACTAAATCCAAGAGCATTAACAATGAATCCAGAGAAAAAAATCAGCTTTACTCGGAGTGAGAGATGACAGTTTTAAAAATTTTTGGACACAACATCATAACTCTACTATAGAATCTTAAACCACATACAACAGATAATAGACATACCAAAAAGACGTTCATTACAATAGCCCCCATGGGATAGAGTAAGAAGCTAAATTGGTATGGCAAGTGAGAGAGAAGATGAATGGGAACTTTTTGTGCATACAGATTTAAAAGGTTCATGAAAGGAAAGTCTGAATATGAATGTAATAAGAAAAGAGGACCTGAGGCTCTAAATGATTAAAAGAGGTCTTTAATAAAATAGGCAAAAATTTAAAAACAGAATCATAGTGGAGCAATTCAAATGTGGATATGTCCACTTCAATACACAAAAGTATGCAAGACGATGATGGTGGTCAACTCAGAAAAAGACATACGGACTGGGAGATAAATGTTTGAATGCAAAAAAAGTCTGAACTATTTGCCTTCAAATAATCTTATCAGAAATTTTCTTGGGCCCCAATATTTTAATTCACTGTAAGAAATAATTATTTATAAATGAAATACATATACATTTATATGTATACTAAGCTACATATGGGGAAAGTGGTTGCATTATGAAAATACTAGTTTTTATGTTTAACTAACCCATCGTGTAGGTGCTCTTGCTCTCTGTGTTCCACTTTCAACAAGTCTTCTTTTATTTTGAAGAGAATAAAACCAAACGAAATAAAACAAAATAGAGTCAATAAAAATAAAATGATGAACATGGTACGTGACTTTAAAACAAAAATACAAGGAAATCAGTAATGGCTACCACAGTGCCTCTTGTTGTCATCAAAAGAACTGCCCACACCATCAGGCATAATAAAATAAAATAAAATAAAATAGTACAGAATAAAACCAGTTTAAAAAACCAATGTCAATAGTACAGGACTTCAAAACAAGACAATGGTAAAGCCAAAATGGATATCATAATGGATCTTGTTGTCTTCAAAGTAGTTGTCTATCCCATTAGACAAGATACAATCAAACAAAACAAAATAAAATAAAATCAGTCAAAACAAAGCCCTGTATTGGAAACAATACAGGGCTTCAAATCAAGCTAACAGGAGATCAAAAATTGCTACCATAATAGATTTTTTATCTTTGAAATAGCTATCCATGCCGTTAAATAAAAGATTAGACAAATTGAAACAGAATAAAACCAAACTAGACAGAACAATGAAAACACTGTGGGTTTCAAATGATTGTAATAGATTAACAACTGCCTTCACTTTTTAAACAATAAGGAATGTCATTCAAAAAATAAGGAATGACATTCAAAACAATTTTGAATGTCATCCTTGCACAGGTGTCATGCTTATCTTTGTATCGTTCCATTTTTACTATATGTGCTGCCAAAGCGAGCACTCAACAAGTTTTGTGACAAGAAATATTTTTTCAAGCGTACAATACCCAGCAGCAACCTATCTCCTTCTATTTCTACACCTTTGTTTTCTGAAAGCTGTAGGATCCAAATGAATACACAAATACTCTGGATATACAATAAGAAGAAATAATATTAAGGTTATACTGAATGGGAAAGGGCACCCAGTTCTGTATGTCTAACATTTGACATTATACCTGGGACACAGCAGACAGTTTGATATGAATACGTGAATAGGTGGAAATGGGTAAGAACCTGAGGCAGAAGATATTTCAAGAAAAGAAAATGAGACAAATGAAACTTTGGAAAGATCTCAATTTTTTAAGTGCTGGTAATGAGAAAATTAGCAGATAAGAAGCAAGGCATAAATACAGAAGTAGATGGATCACTACAGATGTACCAGAATGGAAGACAACTCCAACGAAACTAAAAAAAGATTGGTTTTTAAAAATTTAAAACTCCTTTCAGGGCAAAGTCTCATCTTTATTCCTGCTCACTTTATTAGAAATGACAAAATACCATAAAAATGAAACAGCCTTGTATATCTTAATATCTTATCTTCATTCCAAGCTCTGGCTGCAAGTACTTAAGAATTTGAATGAAGTGTTATTACACCCAAATTTGAAAATGCACTTAGGTTTATCTTCTAAAAATGAAATAACTGGAGTCTGAAAAATTATTTTACAGCTCCAATTAGAATTTAAACTTCTCTCCGAGTTTCTCTGCCATCTTTATTTAAAATAAAAACTCTTTGTTGTTCTCTAATATAATCTTTACAGAGGACAACTGAATCCCAGTTAACCTGTTGCACTTTCCGTATTATTTGTAACGAAAGGAAAAATGTCAATTACTTTGATTTAAAGAGACTAAAATACTTTGAGAATAACTTCCTAGTTCTATTCCTAATTATGAATACATATTTAAAGTAATTAATTCAACTCACCAATGTTGTTGAAATAAGATGTTTTTTGGCATGGTATCAAAAAAGATTATTTAATTAAAAAAACTAAAGCTAAGTTTACAAGAGAGAACTAACCAAAGTTTTTTTTTTTCCTACTCCTTTAAAAAAAATTTTTAACCAAATACTTGAAGCTTATCACAATACTAGGAAATACTAGGGAAATACTAGGTAATACAGCAGCACAAATCAGACAATGATTAGTAATTCAACAAGTTTGTTGTTTTTTTTTAACTTTGCAAAGCTAAAGAAACAGAGAGTAAGTAATAAAACCAGGAAATCTATACAAAGAATTAATAGGATTACTAGTTAAACAGCTTTATGCTTTTATGTAAGGGGTTATGTTCTATAAATTAAAAAAAAGAAAGAAGGAAAAATACCCACCAAGTATGAGTTGTGGTAACTTGAGAACTCACATGACTCTTGGGTTTTATTTCTAAGCAGTACATTTGTATGAGAATATTAATATCACCCAGTTACCAAAAATAAAATCTTTAAGCCGCCTTACCAAGTTCAAACAATTGTTGTAAGTTGAAAAATTCTTAACTATTGCACTATCAAAGAGCATTTTATGCAATGTTTTTTGTAACTGGTACAGATTCATTTGAGCTGTTGAGGTCCACTCGATCATGAAATTAAATACAAACTATCAATTGATTTAAACATTTTAATAAATTAAAATCCAAGTTACGCCCATAAAAGAAGAAATAGGTTAACATACAGAGAGTTTATTTCTGAATTGTTCAAGTAAAATGAAAACTTTGCTGAAAAAAATTTCATAATCAAATTTTGGCTATAAAGGAGACACATATTTTAGAAATATATTTGCATCAGTATCAAATAAACAAAGATAAACATTTGTAAAGACACTGATATCATAATTTTCTTTTTAAAAAAAGACAAAGAGAGTGAAACAGTCAGTAGAAAAGATATGAACACAGTGTAGAAATAGCCATTTCAGAAATTATATGAAGCTTCTTAAAGTTAGTGAAAAGTAAATCAGAGTCCACGTTTCATAAAAGCACTGCTTTTACTTGATACCACTGTAAGTTTAATATAAGTGAAAAGTCTAGGAATTTAGAAGGAGAATTCTCTAATTAATGAGTAGCAGATAAAACTACTGCTTCTGGAGTACACTGATTCAGAAGGAGCACATGTACAGAAGATAAAAAATCCCCGAGAATCAAAACTCTTGAGGTGAGGCACTAATTGCCCAGTTATTGCCCTGAAAGTATTTCTAGGCAGTAGTGCAAGGAAGGAAACTCCAGGCAATCTGCTCTATTCTCTGCGTTGAAGACATTTAATTTAGAGTATAAACAGACCCAGACAACAACCGTTCAATGGACAGAGTACCAGAGAAAAGAAAGTTAGTTTCAAAGGAAGAAGGTTGGAGTTTTATGAAGAGTGTGCCTGGAGTATTATCCTAACACAACTCCTTATGCTAAAGGTCAGGAATAAATCACCTGGATAGATTACAAGAAAAAACACTAGTTGCTCACATTGGGCTGGAAATAATACCCATTCCCACCAGTCAGTGTAGAAAATAATGTAATTCTGAGATAATAATGTAGACAGCTGAGGAGAGTTTTACCTCAGTACTTAAAATAATTTAACAAAACACTGCTATGGGCACAAATAACCAATCTTAAAAAGAAGCCCTGAAGGGATTAAATTGTTTTGAAGTAATTAACTACATCTTGGAACACAGCTGAAGAAAATTTTTAAAAGGAAAGGAAAGCAAGCCTATTTAAAAATTCAAATTGGTGATGAAGCAATCAAAATTACCACTGATACAAGGAAGTGAAACATTTCTCCATATGAAAATTTATTAATCTTACCATTGTGAGACGTGGACTATTAGAATAAGCAGACTGGGAAGTGAAAATAGTTATTTTAACTATCTTTAAAATATTAAATGTTTAATGTCCACTTGCAAAACATGCAACATTAAAACACAAATATTACTCCAGATTTACAAAAATTTTTTAAAAAATAATTATCAGGGCAGAGGATCCCTGGAGAAACTGCAAACTTTTTCAGAAAAATTTAAGTACATTACAAAAGTATAAAACGACCTCATTTAAGAGATTGGGAATAAGGGGCTGAACAAAATCTCTTTGGAAATGAGCAGTTTGTAGAATACAAGCAAAAGGCACTTGTGTATAGCACTATGTTCTAGTCAATGAGGTTGTTTCCTACCCAGTTACAGGAGAGCAATTTTGATACCACAACACAAATGCACTAGGATTAAATGACAACTAAGCAGGTGTATGACAAATAATATTAGTTGTATTCTATCCCGAGTGGAAATTTAAAGATTAACGAGAAAAGAAAGCTATACCTCATGCATAATAAAGAATTTAAATTTAAAGATTTAAATTTAAATTTAAAGAATCAAATTTTTAATTTTAAAGAATTTAAATTTAAAAATTTAAAAGAAAGAATACCTCATGCAGAATAAAGTTGAAAACATCAGTAACAATATAACAATATAAACATAGATGTTTACATAGAGAAATGTTTGTAAATACTGTATTGTATATATATATCAATCAGTATGTACACATATTGTTTTTCTTTACAGCCAAGAGCAGAAAGAAACAATAACTCTGTAATGTAGAATTTTCCTGCCACTTAACTCTTGATTTTTAACACTATTGACAAATAAAAGGGAAAGGAGTCATTGGGAAAAAACCTGGATTGTACAACTGGGCAGAAAACAAAAGATGAGTCTGGTGCAACTTACAGTGACAGGAAACAAGGAATTCTTTTTAAAAAATATACTGATAAACACAATGTTTAAGTGCCTGCAACACAATAACTCTCGATAAAAACTAATCAAAACTATTAATTAAAAACTGAGAGAACAGAATAAAACAGACTTGTAACAAATATACCATATTAAGAAGCTAAATTTAGGGGGCAGTTTGCATAAATAGCATGTAGGAATACTTCTAATTAACTTTTAATTTTTAAATGATTTTTTCTATAAATCTGATTCTGTTTAGGGGGCAGGATCATAACTCAGGTATAGAACAGGTGATTAGTATGGGTGAGGCCTTGGATTCAATCCCTAAAACCAATACATATATTCATGCATACATACATTCTGTTCTAAATTTTAATACCTAAATGTGCAAAAGATAGAATTGATTAGTTTAATGGAAATTGCAATGTGAATATAATACACACATATATCAAAGGTAAACCTGACAGGAATGAAATAAAACACAAAATTCCTACACTCTTGTAATGTGCATGAAAGACAAAAGCACTCAATGTCAATTGGTAACAAGTTAAAATGAATACTATAATCACTAAAGCAGAAAAAAAGCAACATAGCTAACAAGCGTGGAAAATATAAAATAAAACATTAGAAATTATCCAAAAAGTTTAAAGAGGCAATACAGAAAAATTAAACAAAATATTTAGCAAAATGATATATTTAAATGACCCATGTCAATAATCTAATTAAATGGAATGGGCAAAATTTTGTAATGTTTGCAGAAAAACTTGGGAAAATGTAAAAGCCATCATTTCTGGCAGTCCTGGGGATGGAATTTGGGGTTCTCTACTACTGAACTACCCTTCAGCACATTCATTTGGTTGTTTGGTTCTTTACTCATTTGTTCGTTTTTGTGGTACTGGGGAAGAGCGACATCCTAAGGCCTTGTTACTTTTTATTTTGAGACAGAGTCTCACAAAATCACCAAAATTAGCCCCAAAATTGTGATCCTCCTGTCAAAGTCGCCCAAGTATCTGGGATTCTACATATGCACACCTTCTCTATTCTGGATATTTTAAAAAATGTCCTGCAAACTGGGAACATCCAAAATGATAAAAAAAAAATCTTGACAAATAAAGTTACAGTATACATGAGACATAATAATGAAGTACTCAATGATTTCCACATGAAAAACATGATTACATTCAATATTTATTCACAAATAAACAAGCAGTTCTCAGTGCAAGAGCAATAAAGAAGGCTGTCCTTTTGCCAATGACAACTAGAAATTAAAATTTTAA